GTGAATACGTCGGCATTTTAAAAACTACATATCTGTTACTTTTTTACGTACGGGGCGTGCACATTTCAATGGACACGCTAACCGTAGCGCCAAGCCGTTACCACGTGAAATGTACGATAAATGATGAACTTCGCCAAGCACTTTATTTCCATCTTCCATGATGCCTCCAGAAACAGCGGTTTCTGAACTCGTGAATGTAGATCGGTGACACTTCGGTCTCCTCGGGGTTTTTATCGTTTGTACAAAAGCAGCTCAAAGTGTGGGAAGGGAAAGCGAGATTAATGTTTTCCAGAGATTTTGTCTACCTCGTTTTGTATTTGCACGTGACATCAATATATACTTGTCGTGACAAAACTGGTCTCACTTCCATTTCTTACTTTGCCATAGCAGTGTGTGTGGGTGTATGTGTCTTTGTGTGTGAGTGTATGTGTGTGTATGGATGTGGATGTTTGTGTTTGTTTATGTGTGTTTGTGTGTATGTATGTGCGTGTACTCGTTAACAGCACTTGCCCCAACAGCCTGTTTTGGCTATACGGGGGATCTTTGTCTTTGTATGTCTGTGTGTTGATGGTTGTGTACGTGTTTGTGTGTGTGAATGCGTGTGTATTTATGTTTAATTACATTTTTCGGTTGTAGTTTAGTGGTAGTTAATTGAAGGTGGAGGGGTTACCAGCCCCTCGCACCCATCCAGAGCCCTCATTTAGCCGCTGTGATGGTCACAGACGCTATGAGGGGAAAGGGCCAATTGGAATTGGCCCTCTCCCCCACGGAACCGACCACGACAGCGTTGCCACAGAAGTACACTTGTATACACGTGCACTTGTTGTATTTCTCAGAAATGTTTGTGGGAAAGAGGTCAAGACCACGTTGCTGACCTAATTAAATGTTGACTATAAAAAGTGGATAAAAGGTGATGGTACAGCCCCTGCGGTTGTTCACACCACTGCCGGCAAATGGAACCTCCACGAGCGGGAGCTCCAGAGAGCCCCTGTGAGGGTCATTGGCCTACTCCTCCACACTGGCCAGGATGTCTTTAACGAGGAGGTCGTCAAATATAAAGTTAGATATAAATGCCGCTTATAACATTTGACCGTAACGCGTTCGGTGGGGACACGCTTCTTGCTGGGCTCAAATCCAGGGCGGCGTGCGAAGAAAAACGGGGCCCAGACAATGTTGACTCCAGCACTGGGGGGGGTGCCGGTACACTGGGACACTGCTGTGGGTGTGGTTACTCAATCGCCCAGCCACGTGGAGGAGTAGCCACTGATATGAAACGCAACGCCATCGTCTCACCTAATCAACCCGTTCACCCGTGAAGCGGTGGCCCGGCCGTTAGCGCACACTGACCACTGCCAGCTAAGTTCGATTCCCGGCCACGGCTAACGTCGGTGCTGAGTGACATCTGAACAGATCTCTGGGCTGCCTCACCTTCACACCAACTCATACTGACCAGCGTGGTGAAGTATGATCAAACACTCCCCCCCCCCATTTACTGACACAGAGTGGGGGGCTCTTACCTCCACTGTGGATTGACAGAGGGCCGCCGTCTATGCTGAGCCCCACGCCAGTATAATCGCAGCATCCCTCTGCAATAGCTCTGCAGTGACACCTGAAGGCACACAAACAACACAAGTGGGTGGCCAGGTGCAGGGAGGGTGACGTCCTCATTCAATGAATAAAAAACGAAAAGGAACCCGCCACGGATATTCACCAAGCGGCAATGAGAGCGTCGTGGCGATGCTGCTGCTGTCAGAAACCCGCCGCACGATGCAGTGCGGACACGAGTTGACAATTTCCACCCCACACATCCGCTACTTTTCTTGTCAACACCCTCAGCATTAAATTAACATTGCAGAGTTTTATACTTCAACATTCAATGATTGTCCTACACGAAGAGCTCGTTTAGTTAAATGATGTTTGAAAGGGGTCATTCGATTTAACAAAACAAATGGTGAAATATCGTGACTCAATCGCTACAGCTACTGAGAGAGCTATTGTGGAACTCTACTAAATCCAAGAAAGGTAACTTAAAATGGTAAATTGTGTATTTTTATCGTAATGGTTTGTAAAACAAAAAATTTGCACAGTTAATGATGCAACTACTGGCACAGGGCAACCGCGGCTCGAGTGTGAACGCCTTCACTATGAGAGGGGTCACCCTGCAGGGTTGAGTAGAGATCTCTAACCCACCCTGTATAGAGTAGTCAACGCGTGTTTAATACCGATATTTTTCTTATTTTATCGGTTAAAGGCCAACTGAGCTCTATTGTCAGAAGCGACATGGCCATCACAAATAACGTCTGAACGAAGTGGCTTATCGCGCGGACATTTACAGCAGCAGCAAAAAATACTTCTAGATTTGAAGCTTTCGTGACTGCAAGGATTCATACTCTTTTGGTTTTATTCGGTAAAGGCACGTAGATAAATTAAAACAAAACAAAATAAAATAATCAAATCACGACGTTTCGGAGGCAACACAAGCTTCCGTCTTCAGGTGGGAAAAAAAAGTCAGAATATCTGCGTTGACCGTTTTATTTTATCTACGTGACTTTACCGAATAAAAAAAACCAAGGAGTAGCAACGCGCGATGCTGATTCTAAACGTTGGATGGAAAAACCGGAGTGCCCGGAGGAAAAAACTCCACGCGACCACAGGGAGAAAGAGAGGCGCGAAAACTCCAAATAATCGGGCGTCGCGATCGAACCCACGACCTCCTGCATCCCCTGCGAGGTAGTTAGTTCCATAGTTCATGTATTTGGTATAGCCCTGTGAGCCATTCGGCTCTTGAATCGGGTGCAACCGCAACAAACAAAAAAACATGAACAAGAAAACATCTTAAAGTGACTATGTGACTGTGCAAACAGAAAATACAGGAAAAAAATATCAAAATATTCCTGAAATAGCACCGTACACCAACGCTGTGTGCAAAAATCCCAGTGGGATGCAAGTCAAATAACAACAACCACAAGACAACTAAGATTAAGGCCATCAGTCTAACTCCGTACTACAATAAACAAAAACATGGCCAAAACCAAAAAACACGTTTTCGAAATCACCAAAATAAAAGCCATAAATGCAACATAACAGTGATCATAGGGACTGTGACCGAATTCTTTTACAATAAACTACATAAATAAATTATAACACCAAAATCTAGAGCCATATTTTAGGCCACTGAATAGCAGTGGCAGCTAGGGGTGTACAACTCCTCTAAAGCAGTTTTGAGCGAAGATCTCATAGGTAGCGATTCAAGTTGAAGATTCAAGATTCAAGGGCCTTTGCTATTGATGCCCCCAGGGTCTGGAATGCTATTGCCAATAAACTGCAACTTGAATCACTACCTATGAGATCTTCACTCAAAACTGCTCTAGAGTTGTACAACCCTAGCTGCCACTGCTATTCAGTGGCCTAAAATATGGCTCTAGATCTTGGTGTTATAATTTATGTAGTTTATTGCTAAAAATTCGGTCACAGTCCCTATGATCACTGTTACATTGGATTTATGGCTTTTATTTTGGTGATTTCGAAGTTTTTTTTGTTTTGGCCATGTTTTTGTTTATTGTAGTATGGAGTTAGACTGATGGCCTTAATCTAAGTTGTCTTGTGGTTGTTGTTGTTGTTTGACTTGCATCCCACTGGGACTTTTGCACACAGCGTTGGTGTACGGTGCTATTTCAGGAATATTTTGATATTTTTTTCCTGTATTTTCTGTTTGCACAGTCACATAGTCACTTTAAGATGTTTTCTTGTTCATGTTTTTTTGTTTGTTGCGGTTGCACCCGATTCAAGAGCCGAATGGCTCACAGGGCTATACCAAATAGATGAAAACTATGAACTAAGTTGCAGTTTATTGGCAATAGCATTCCAGACCCTGGGGGGGGCATCAATGGCAAAGGCCCTTCCTCCGGTTAACACCTCGCCACCATGGCGGCCCGTGGCCTTCATCCAGCAGTGGGAAGAACAATACACGGCATGCCATCGTTGCGGGTTTAGCACGACACAAGATAACAACAACAACAACACGAACCTCCAGACGCATGTACGTCGCCGCAGCCTACGCGGCGCTGCGATGATCCAATAACAGACACCCCCACTGATTTCTTCCCGACATCCGAGGTAGGAGGAGACTTTTTTTTTTAAACGACGCCAATAGCGGCGGCGGCGTTGACATTGCCGATGGTGGTCGCACAGTAAACGCCACCCCCACTGGTTGCTTATCTTCGCCCGCGTGCCCACACCGTGCCCGGCGCTGGCATTGAAATCAATGCCCTCCCCCCAACTCCTACCCACGATGTAGACCTGGCCCGGACCAGTCCATTGTCGATGTACGATGATTAGGAGGGGGGGGGGGGTGGATATTTGTATTGGATTAGTCCACCTTGCGTTAATGATAGAGGGGTGGGTATGGGGGGGGGGGTGTTCTTACCTGATTTTCAGGATGTGAAACTGAGTGGACTTACCAATGACGACAAGCTTCAGGAGGCTCGTGAAGGACGCTCCCGGGCAGTTGCAGGCAGTCGCCCTCCCAACAACAACAACAACGGAGGGGCAAAGGAGCGACGCTCAACAACAACGAGCGAGTTTCACAAAGTCGGTGGGCACAGCTGGTGGCCGTCTGCCAGCCGCCTCAAAGCCAGTCAACTCATGGCACCTGCAGCGCCTGCCCCGTGACCCCCTGCCAGCGCGTGGCCGCAGAGTGCACCTAGCCTGGCACAAGCGCCGTGGGGGACCAGCTTCGCGGTGAATGGCGGCTGGTTGTGGTTGGTGCTGTTTGTTTGAACCGTTCCACTGGAGGTTAAATCCAATTATTGTCTGTGGGGGGGTAGGCGAGGGAGACCACTGATGGACGAGTCCATAGTAGGTGTTTGATAGGGGGTGGGGGACGGGGAGGGGAGGCCTGACTTGGACAAGACCAGTCCATGTTGGGAGCGAGTTTGGGGGGGGAGGGGGGGGAGGGATTTGTTCTCCCCTGGGCCACGTGACCTCGTGGTCTATAAATGTCCTCTCTCTCTCCCGACGCGTGCGTCTCTCGTTACAGGGGAAGCGTGGAACATTCTCCTCCTCCTCCTCCTCCCTCGTCGTGGTCGTCTCGCCACACGACGAGCGGACGAGGTGCGCGAGGAGAGGCGGTGCCAGAGGAGAGGAGGTGCGAGGCGCGGGGAGAAACGACGAAGACGACGAACAAGGTGGACCATAAGCCCCCTGCCGGGGTGGACGAGGCAGCGGAAGGAGAGAGGACGAGGTGAGGAGGGGTTTTTGAGCGAGGTGGACCAACGTTGAACCTGACGGACGGAGTGAGGAGGGAGCCGCTGGTGGACGCCTTGAGGAAAGTGATAGGAGGAGGGAGAGGCAGGGCACTGGCCGACACGCACACAGCTCCCCCGTGTAGCCTTCACACACTGTCGGGGCAAGTGCTGTTAGCGAGCACCAATGAAGGCCGACACGGCACACGAGGTGGGTGGCCAGCAACCACGCCCGGCCGCCTTTGTCTCCCCCGGTGGCGATGTTTACGACACACCGCACCGGGTACTCATTTGAGGCCGAGTCGATCTAGGGGAGGCCCAGGACCGGTTCGGATAATCGTCACCTGGTGTTGACCGTGAGCGGGAATCGAACTGTTGGACATCTGTGAACAAGAGCTTTATATTCTTGGTTCGTGGCTTTACCGAAAGAACCAAGAATATTAATCAATGCAGTCACGAAAGCTTTAAATGAATATTTAAGAGCTTTATAGGTCATCAGATTCCTCCGGTGCAAATAAATATGCCGATGCTGAACTCGGGTCGCCGTGTTCGTAGCGCAGCGCCCTAACCGCTGCACCACCGCTCCCCACACAGCGACGTACAGGCAGACAACAACATACACAGCTCCCCTGTGTAGCCTCCACAGACTGTTGGGGCAAGGGGTCGTCCATAAATGACGTCACGCACCTAGGGGGTGAGGTCAGACATTTGTGACGATGTGTGACGATGGGGGTGGAGGGGGTTTGAGAAATGTGACGTCACATCAAAATGCGCGCAACTTTAAATAAATATAGACAACACGTTCTACTTATATTCTTGGTTCTTTCGGTAAAGTCACGTTGAAGGGAAACAATGAAATAAAAAATATAAAACAATAAAATTCTCACGACGTTTCGACTGCAACACAAGCAGTCATCATCAGGTTGGTTTTCACACCTGATGATGATTGCTTGTGTTGCAGTCGAAACGTCGTGAGAATTGTATTGTTTTATATTTTTATTATTTATTGTTTCCCTTCTACGTGGTGACTTTACCGAAAGAACCAAGAATATGAATCACTGCAGTCACGAAAGCTTTAAATCAAAACGTTCTACTTAAATATACTTTTTTTATATAAATGTTTTCTCCTACGAGTGCAGCGCCGCATTAAATACGCACTACAATGACAATAGTTTAAAGCGATTTGAAGAATGTTTTATTTTTTTTGCTGTGAGCGAGCAACACGGCGCGTTGCACTTACGAGGGGGTCGTGTGACAAGCATGATGCCCTGCCGCCTTTATATCCCCAGTGCTGTTGTTTACACACCGCAGCAGGTACTGATTTAAGGCTGAGTCCACCTAGGGGAGGCCGTAGCGAGGAGGTTGTCCGCCTGTTTTGCAGCTGTAGCCACGAGGTTGCCCGTATGCATGTTGCAGCCGTGGCGACGGGGCTGTCCGCCTGTGCCGTGACAGCCGTGACGACGGGGCTGTCCGCCTGTAGGTAACAGCTGTAGCGACGAGGCTGTCTGCCTGTGCCGTGACAGCCGTGGCGACGAGGCTGTCCGCCTGTGTGTAACAGCTGTAGCGACGAGGCTGTCTGCCTGTAGTTAACAGCTGTGTTGACGAGGCTGTCTGCCTGTAGGTAACAGCTGTAGCGACGAGGCTGTCTGCCTGTAGGTAACAGCTGTAGCGACGAGGCTGTCTGCCTGTGCGTGACAGCCGTGGCGACGAGGCTGTCTGCCTGTAGGTAACAGCTGTAGCGACGAGGCTGTCCGCCTGTGCGTGACAGCCGTGGCGACGAGGCTGTCCGCCTGTGCGTGACAGCCGTGGCGACGAGGCTGTCTGCCTGTAGGTAACAGCTGTAGCGACGAGGCTGTCCGTCTGTAGGTAACAGCTGTAGCGATGAGCGTGCGGAGGGACGGCGCGGGGCCGGAGTCGGCGGCGTCGCTGCTGCTGCTGCGCGAGTCCCAGGCGCGCGACGACCTGGAGCGCCAGCTGCTGTGCCCCATCTGCCTGGAGATGTTCTCCAAGCCCGTGGTCATCCTGCCCTGCCAGCACAACCTGTGCCGCAAGTGCGCCAACGACGTGTTCCAGGTAATTGCCTGCACGCTCACCTGTACACTCACATGTACACTCACTCACCTGTACACTCACCTGTACACTCACTCACCTGTACACTCACCTGTACACTCACTCACATGTACACTCATCTGTACACTCACCTGTACACTCACATGTACACCCACCTGTACACTCACCTTTACACTCACTCACCTGTACACTCACCTGCACGCTCACCTGTGACGCTCGCCCGCACTCTGACCTGTACACGCAGCTGCACGCTCGCTCGCCTGTACACTCACCTGTGCAGTGTCCCGCTTGCACGATCACCTGCACACTCATGGCAATGTCACAGATGTCCAGTAGGGGTGGGTCAGAAAGTTACAACATTCGTGCCAATGCCTCTCTTGTCTTCCCCCGGTCCCCTCGCCCCCCCCATCCCTGTCCCCTCCCCCCTCCAGTCTCGTGGGGGGGGGCCCTCAATCGGCGGGGGGGGGCGCTTCCGCTGCCCGTCGTGCCGCCACGAGGTGTTGCTGGACCGCCACGGCGTCTACGGCCTCCAGCGCAACCTCCTCGTCGAGAACATCATCGACATCTACAAGCAGCAGCAGCAGCAACAGCAGCAGTCCTCGCGGGGATCAGCAGCAGCGTGAGGGCAGGGGGGCATGGGGCAGGGCAGTGGGAAAGAGCAGGGGCCCCTTCCCCCCGGTTCAGACAGAAGGCATCATGGTCCAGTCGATTCCAGTCTCTGTATGATATCGTCGTGATGGGGTGGGCGAATAATCGGTAATGCCGCTTTGCTCGTCACGAGACCGTGATCTGAAATACCCGCGCCTTCGATAACAACACGTCGATCACGGCTACGGCATCGGCGGACATGAAGGTGCGATCCGGCGTACTTCCCGAGCGACGTGTCGGCAGATGTCGGCAGTTGATTTTACCACAAGAACCAGTCGGTCCGAGAGAGTTCAGGTCACCACAGATGATTTGGCTAGAGCCCAGTGACCCACAGTCTAGCAGACTCCTGGAAAGGCTCGGAAAAGAATTCCGACAGCGGTGAGGAACGGCGTTCAACAGGCGTTCGTTGTTTTACCCAAGCTAGCAGCAGCTCGAACGACGGTGATTGTCAATGAGTCGCTCGGGACTTTCACGCAGAATGTCTCCACGGTGAATCGGTACGATCCCACCACCACGCGGGCTGCCGGTGCCAGGCTTCCCGTGACGGTGCCGATGTTCCACTAGCGTTACCCGTCAGCTGCAGCCTCGCGCTTAACTAACGCCCGTCCGGGATAGTCGTCAATCGCCCAGGTCTCGGCAACGGCCAACATGTGCGAGTCCACAATCGTCGACCAGATCCTGGATCCAGCGCCGTCTTGTTGACCACGGAGCTCGTGCCATTGATCAATCCAAAGCTGAGGATGCCCTGGTCCGGCGTTATAGCCCGATAGCCGACATCAGCAGCGGTATGGCGGTGACGACGCCCTTCTGTGATCGTGCGGATGTTGGGGCGGAAGAAGAGCCGACCCAGATCTCCGGCACAGCCATGCCCCGAGGCATTGCAACCAGCGACCAACACGGTCGGGGGTAGGGGGGGGTGGCGGCATTTGCACATCAGGTCGAAAGCACAGTGGGGGTGCGCAATTCGAGTAGTCTGAGCCTTCATCATCATCGTCGTCGTCGTCGTTGTTGTTGTGGTGGTGGCGGTGCCCCCCAGGGGCCCCGGCGGCCGCAAGGACGCGGAGCCGCACTGCGCAGAGCACGAGGAGGAGCGCGTGAACATCTACTGCTCCTCGTGCCGCACGCCCACCTGCTCCCTCTGCAAGGTGTTCGGCTCCCACCAGCACTGCCAGGTCGCGCCGCTCGGCGTCGTCTACGAGCAGCACAAGGTGGACACCTGCTCCTCGCTCACCCACGCACCTCCTTGCACCTCCTGATTCCGTCGCACAACTCCACGCAACTCCACGCAACTCCACGCACCTCCATGCACCTCCACACACATTCACACATCTTCTGATTCCATTACACACATCAACACTCCTGATTCCATCACACACCTCCACACACCTCCTGATTCCATCACGTACTTCCTCACATCTCGACACGCCTCCACACACCATCACGCCGCTCCTCACCCCCCCTCCTCACACCGCCGCATGACATTGGAACTGGTACATCCCCCCCCCCGCCCCCAGTAGGGTGAGCTGAGTAATGATGATGTCAGTGGTTATTATAATGATGATGGTGATACTGCTTCTGTCGCTGATGTCGTTAATTATGTTGGTGATGACGGCAATGGAGTGATGATGATGATGACGGTCTTTTTAATGATGCTGGTGATGTTGATGGTGGTGATGGCAGTGATGGTGATGGTAACGATGGGCCATCGCCTCCGGCTAGTCTCGGTGTTGGTGGTGGTGCTGTTGGTTATGTTGATAATTGTACTGATGGTGATGTTATTGATGATGTCAGTAATTCCCCCTCTGCCCCCCCCCATCCCACCCGCCTATCCTCCCCCCATGCCCCCCCCCCCCGCCGCCCCGTGCAGGGTGAGCTGAGTGATGGGCTGGCGCAGGTGGTGGTGAGTAGCGAGCGACTGCAGGAAGGGCTCCTGGAGCTGGAGGGAACGCTGCACTCTCTCGACGTGAGGGAGCTCACCACCGCAACCGCAGCCACAACACCACAACATCCACAGCCACAGGCACAACACCTATAACCATTACAACTACAAGCACAATAGCCCACTACAACCACTACAACAACTACAATCACAACAAGCACTACCACAGCCGCAGCTACAGCCGCAACCACAGCCGCAACTACAACCATAGCCTCAACCACACCCACAACTGCAGCCGCAACCAAGCCCAAAACTGCAGCCACAACTACCACAGCCACAACTACCACAGCCACAACTACCACAGCCACAACTACCACAGTCACAACTACCACAGCCACAACTACCACAGCCACAACTACCACAGCCACAACTACCACAGCCACAACTACCACAGCCACAACTACCACAGCCACAACTACCACAGCCACAACTACCACAGCCACAACTACCACAGCGACACTTACAACCACAGCCACAGCCACAACCAAAGATCCGCCATATCGAATATGACAGACTGTTGCGACAAATGCTGTTAGCAAGGGGGTGGTGTTAGCCAGAACCATGCCCGGCCACCTTTGTCTCCCCAGTGGTGATGTTTACACACCACACCATGTAATCATTTTAAGGCTGAGTCGACCTAGGAGAGGCCCAGCATCGATTCAGATATTCGTCACTGGTGTTGGCTGTGACTGCCACAGTCAGAATTGGAACATGAATCACAACACTCACTCCCACACCCCTCTCCCTTCCCCCCCCATTTCCCCTCCCCCTTGCCCCTCCACCACACATCCCCCCTCCCATTCCCCCCCTCCCATTCCCCCCTCCCATTCCCCCCTCCCATTCCCCCCTCCCATTCCCCCCTCCCATTGCCCCCTCCCATTCCCTCTTTCCTTCCCATCTCCCCATGCCCCTCCTCCTCGACCCCCCCCCGTTCCATCCCCCTCTATCCCCCTCCCCGACCACCCCCCCTACCCTCCTCGTGCCCCTCCCATCCCCCTCACACCCCCCCCATACCCCTCCCCCTTTATCTCCCGATGCCCCTCCCATCTCCCCCATGCCCCCTCCCCCTTTATCTCCCGATGCCCCTCCCATCTCCCCCATGCCCCCTCCCCCTTTATCTCCCGATGCCCCTCCCATCTCCCCCATACCCCTCCCCCTCTATCTCCCCATTCCCCTCCCATCCTCCAATGCCCCTCCCCCTCTATCCCACCGTGCCCCTCCCATCCCCGAATGGCTTTCCTCCTCCACTGCCCCCCCTCCACCTCACCTCACCTCTCCACCTTCCCACACCCCAATGCCCCTCCCCCTATCACCCCCCTCCTCCTCCCCCTCCTCCTCCTCGCCCCACCCAGGAGAGCTCGAAGCTTCAGCAGCGCGTGATCGGGGAGGCCTTCGAGGCGCTGTCCCTGGTGCTGGAGGGTCGCAAGCGGGCCCTGACGGCCGCCGTGCAGGCCCAGCAGGAGGCACGGGCGCGCGCCATCCGTGCGCGGGTGGCGCGGCTCGCCCAGCGCGTCGACGACGCCTCCAAGCTGGTGGAGGCCGCGCTGCAGCTGCTGGACGAGCCGGGCGCAGCCAAGTTCCTGCAGGTGTGGCCGCGGTTTGAACGCCCGGCGGGGTTGGGCCTCGGATGATGCCACGGCACGCGCGCGGTGCATTCTGGGATTACGTGAATGTTACGCACTCCCAGAAGGTCTTGGCGGGGGGGGCGGGGGGCGGGGGGGGGGGGGTGGGGGGCCCCCCCCCCCATGGACTGTGTGAGAAATGTATTTGTTCACGTCGAGGGATGGAGCTGCGAAGGAAATGCGTCGGTCTGCTTGTATAGTTCATGAATGTTAATAATGGTAGTTATAATTACATGAACTCCACGTGGTGGAATTAGATGCGAGTATAAAAATATGCCGGAAGTGATGTGAAGAGGAGTTGTGGGGGGGGGGGGGGGAGGGATCGCACAGAGATGCTGTGAAGCTCCCCTGCCGTGGGCGTTGGGTAGGAGCCCGTACCCCCGGCTCGCCAGGAGAATGCGGCACAGCAGAAATGTGGACTCCGCCTGTTACCATCTGTCTGGGATAGAGTGTTGCCCCCCTCGCGCACGTCAGTTTTCTCCGGTTGCTCCGGTTTACTCACACATGCAAACGTGCATTAATTGGCCCGCAACACCTTAATATGTAGAGGATGGGCAGAGCTTGGGAAAACTGTTGGTAGGTCCAGTGTCTGCCTGCCTGCTCTTCTGGTGCTCCTCCTCGCACTTCTGATTCGTCCTCTCTCCGACAGCGAATGAACACTGTGGCGGCAGCAGCAGCAGCAACGCATTAGAAGCTAAACTAACTGATTCTAATTTTGAGATTCTCAGAGACCGCAGATGGGAAGGTGATACGCGGTGAAGTTGGGGGGAGACTGGTGGTGATGTTGGGGGTGCGTGGGGTGGTGGTGGTGGTGAAGCCCTTGGGTGAGGGGGGTCTGGCATGCGGAGGTGGTGGTACTCACAGCAGCCCGTGGTAGACTCGGGGTACTCCCGGGAGCCCGTGGTACTCACGGGAGCCCGTGGGACTCGGGGGACTCGTAGGAACTTGTGGTACTCACGGGAAACTATGGGACCCATAGGCCCCGTGGAATCCGTTCGTCGTTTGTGTTGTTTACCTTTGCCCATGTTTGACTCGTTACCCTGCCCCTCCCCGTATTTCCCGCAGAGTGCCACGGGCCTCATCGTAAGGTCAGTCGAGGGAAGTGGGTCAGCTCTGTGTTTTGTGTGTGCACGTGGTCAGAGGGTCATGACCTCATGGACTGGGGTCGTGACCCCCACCGTGTGTGACTGTGTGTGTGTGCGTGACTGGCTTGTGTGACTGTTTCCGTGAATGTACGTGTGACTGTGTGTGCTTGTGATCGTTGTGGGGAGCGGTAGCGTAGTGGTTAGCACACTGCGCTGGGAACCCGCGTTTGATTCCCACTCACGGCCACCAACACCAGTGAACTGCTGCTGGGCCTCCCTTAGGTCGACTCAGCCTCAAATTAGTACCTGGTGCGGTGTGTAGTTAACATGGCCACTCGGGAGACAATGGCAGCTGGGCATGGTGATGGCCACCCACCTCCTTATGTGCGCCGGCCTTCATAGGTGCCCGCTCACAGCACTTGCCCCAAAAGTCTGTGAAGGGGTATACATACGGTGGATGTTTGTTGCTTGTGACTGTGCGTGCAACGGTTAGCGCGCCGCGCTCCGAATGTGATTACCCGAGTTCGATTCCTGGCCACGCCTAATATCGGCGCCATCCAATCCGTTGCGGGACTCCCTCTTCAGTTGGGTGCGGTGTGAATGCGGGCGGGCGGGCGGGCGGGCGTGTTGGAGGGCCGTGGGGCGCAGGGGCGCCTGCCACACCGCCCCACTCGTGCTCCTTGGCCGTCGTAACCGGCACCGGCGCGCTGTGGCGTGCGGGGGGCGCAGGATGTCCGAAGTGGCCACCGCCGTGGACGCCCTCCCCGCGGGGTCGGGGGTCGACGACCTCGGGAAGTTTCGCGTCGACTTCTCCCGCGAGGCCGACATCCTGCGGAGGCTCGACTTCGTGCCGGGTGAGGCCCGGTGGGAGAAGGGCGGCGGGGAGGCAGGGGGAAGGGGGGGGGGGGAGCAGGTGGGAGTTTTGGGCAGGGGTGGGGGGTGGGTGGTTTCTACAGTCAGAGGATCACAGTGTCAGGGTTAGACACAATGTTCGGGGTTCATCAGTACGTGACGTCATCATCTCATCCCATTGGGGTTCCTAACGGAGTGGGGTGCCTCTCCTTCCCTTCATGAGCCCCCTCTTACGGGACTCGTGGGCAATCCCTCCCCCCTCCCCGCCACTCCCCCCTCCACCCTCCCCTTCCTGTGTGACGATGCAGACGAGGTGACGGTAGAGGAGAAAGTGGAGGAGCCGAGTGGTGAGGTGAAGGGGACGGCAGAATTAGCGGCGGCGGCAGAAGTAGCGGCGGCGGCGGCGACGACGGCGGAGACGATGACAGTGGCGGCGGTGGCGGCGGGGGCTCAAGGCGAGGCCTCCGTTGGGCCGGGGGAGCCCCCGAAAACGTTGGGGCCCGAGGAAGGGCCCCCACAGCCGGGGCCCAGGGGCACCAACCCCGACCCGGGCTCGAACCCTAACGCCGTGGACTCCGCGGCCATTGACTCGGCGCGGGGGGAGCGGAGCAGGGAGCCGGAGGTGAGGGCAGGGTGCCACTTCTGAGCCTACCTGCCGCTGGGATTTCAGCAAGATTCATCTACATTTGGGCCACCAGCTCCGGTTGCCACCTGTCCCTGGTTTCCCCAGGACTGTCCGTCCTCCTGTTGAGATAGTTGTAGGTGAGCGAGTGAGTGGGTGGGCAGGTCACCAACACCATCGACAATTGTCTGAGCCGGTCCTGGTCCTCCGCTAGGTAGACTCGGCCTTAAAATTTGTACCTGGTGCGGTGTGCAGACATCAGCACTAGAGAGACAAAGGCGGCCGAGCGTGGTGCTGGCCACCCACAGCCTCGTGTGCCGTGCCGGCATTCATAGGTGCTCGCTAACAGCACTTGCCCGACAGTCTGTTAAGGCTATACGGGGGGGGGTGGGGGTGGTGGGGGGTGGCGATCTTTGCCTTTGTGTGCAGGTGCGGTCGTACAAGATCCCCTCGGCGGGGGCAGGACCACGGCAGGACCCCCCTCAGCCCGCCGCGACTGCCGGTGGCGTACCAAGGGGACCCGGGGTCGTGCGGAGCGCGGCACGGGGGCCGCCGACATCCCCCTCTCTGTGGCCAGGAGGAGGTGGAGGGATCCCCCCCCGAGGCGGCCTGTCGATGAAGGTGAGTGGTGGGGGGGGGGGGGGGGGGGCCCAGGGGATCCTGAGCGAAACGGGGGGGCCCAGGGGATCCTGAGCGAAAGCGGGTGTTTTGCGTTGCAAAGGGTGGCTGCTTCCGTTAATCACGTAATATAATTACGATCGACAATTATAACAATTATAATGAATGAATTCAACTCGTGTCACGCTGTGCCCCTCGTATCCGCTCCTCGCTCTCGTAGAGGGAGGGTGGTGGGGGGGGGGGGGGTGACTCGGAGATGCGACGAGGAGGAGGAGTCGCAGACGAGCAGGGAAGGCAGCAACCATACGGTGGGGAGCCGGCGCTGACCAACAGTTGCCCAAGCTCTGGAATCCTCCGTATACTAAGGCGTTATCGGCCATTTAACGGGCGTTTATTATGCATGTGGGAGGAAAAGAGCGCCACGGCGGCTAGGAGATGTTGACTGCCTTGCGCGGTATACAGGAGGTCGTGGGTTCGATTCCGACCCTGATGCCTGCTTTTGCTGTATATTTGGAGTTTGCTTGTCTCCGTGTCCTCCGGTTATTCCCTCCACATTTCGAATCAACACGTAAGTTTCGGGCATTTGCCTGCTATAAATTTCCACACGATGAGCCACTTCGTTGAGCTATAATTTGTGGCCAGGCCGCGTCTGAAAAAAAAATAAGCTACACGGCTCGGTAGGCCTTGCCTGGTAAAATAAAAAAGATAATAGTTTAAACCGGAGCACCCGGAGAATAACCGCACTTGCAGGCAGGTGTGGAGTCGACATTTTTGCTGTGCCGCCCTCTCCCGGCGAATCAGAAGTATTACACCTCCTAGACGCCCACCCTCGGGCAAGAAGGGAGGTTTGACAGCATTAGTGCGGTGATCCACCAACCCTGCCTCACTGCTGCCTCTACACAGGGCTGGATCACGGGCAGCCATGCGCATAGCCACCACCGCCAAACCTCGAGTTGACCAGCAGGAAAATCTGTGATGATCGTTAACAACGATTGTCGTGATTATTTTGATCACGCACGTGCGAGTGCGAACACGCGTGTCTCCCAGGCAAGGCTCACTGAGCTGTATCACTCTTTTATCAGAAGCGACCTGGCTATCACAAATGATAGCTCAACGAAGTGCCTTAGAGCAGCCAAATATTCTAAACGCGCGATGTTGATTCTAAATGTGAAGGGGAAATCCGGTGGACCCGGAGGAAAAATCCACGCAACCACGGGGAGAGAGAGAGAGAGAGACGAAAACTCCAAATAGTCAGGCGTGTCGGGGTCGGGATGGAACCCACGACCTCCTCCATACCAGGCGAGGGAGTTAACATCCTGCCACCGCGGCACCCCTAACACACACGTGTGTGTCACGTGTCTCAGGCCCTGGCCGTGCGCGTGCCCCTCCTGCTCTGTGCGGCGGCGCTCTGGGAGATGTGGGGGTGCTACGAATACCTCGCCCTCACCCGCCTGCAGTGGGGGGGGGGCTGCCCCTGATGGGGGGGGGGGGGGGGTGGGGGATAGATGGGGTGTGGGGGGGGGCCGACCCCAACCCACCAACACCCTCCCCCTTCCCCTACCAACCCCCTTCCTCCACCACCCCCCTTCCCCCCAGAGGAGACGCGCACAGGTAATGGGGGGGGGGGACGAGGGATGTGGTGGTGGTAGAGTTGGGGGGGGGTGCGGAGGGGGGCTGGTGGGCCCCCCCCCACCAATGCCTCTTTATCGTAAGAATATTTATTTGGACCGGAGGTATCCGATGGGCTATGAAGCTCTTTTTGTTCTCACAGATATCCAGTACGAGCAAGTCAGCAATTGCAATTCATGTTGCAGTTGCATCGCAGGATGCTCCCAACAATCCAAACCAACGCCTGTGCGGCATGTTAACCGCGATCACGTTTGCTCGTGTTGATCAGAATGTTTATTCGTACTGGAGGAATCCGATGAGCTATAAAGCTCTTTTTCTCACAGGTGTCACAGGGCGGGTCAGAACGTTACAACAGCAAAACTAAAAAAAACACGATAGGAGTAACAAAATAGAGAAAACACAAGGGGTAAGCAAGCCACCAAATATAAATAAGTAATCCATTCATGAATTACATAGGTCCGATTTAGCAAGCTTGGGCAAGGCAGCAATGAATATTGTACAGCTCGCCAGGACGCTGCATGGCGAGTAAGCACACACAGGTACATAGGATGTGGTGTGCTGGGTCGGTGGGTAGGCAGCCTTGAGTAGGTGGCACGCGTCTCATCAGTAGCCACAGCGATGGTGAGATCGGCGTGTACTGGGTGTGGTGTGCTGGATGAATGAAAATATTTCCTGGGTTGCTTCGCCTGAACAGAGCCGGCGGAAACGAATCCCCGACCACCGCCACCCCGACCACCACCGTCATCATCATCACTCTGCTTGTTAACCCAGGATAGCCTCACCGAGTCCCAAGACTCGTTTCGGGAGGGTCCTGCCAATTTTCGAAGTCGGGGGTGGCCGGTGTGACTGCTCTGGTTTGCATGTGATTATTTTAGCCAATTGGACGTTTTGGCCAAGAGCATGCGCAGAATCTCAGCCAATACCAGCCGCCTAAATGCACACAGTGTCTATATGCCCTCTGTTCATCACGCAGCTCCTCTGCATTTGAACAATATATGTTAATTCTCCTATGCTTGTATGTATGCATGTTCAACTTCTTTTGGCGCCTTACGTAGTTAACCGCGCTAATTGGAGGTGCTTCAGAATGTACACGGTGCTCGTTAACAGCACGTGCCCCCAACAGTCTCTATAGGCTACCTGGGGGATCTTTGTTGTGTGCCTGTGTGTGTTGTTGTGCCCACACGTGCATGTGTGTGCGTCTGTGGTGCGCGGTTAGTGCACTTACGCTGCAAACTTTCCGGCCTGTATTCGATTCCTGCTCTCGGCCAGCAACATCGGTGATGAATATCTGAACTGGTCCTGGGCCCCTCCCCTAGGTTGACTTAGTCTTAAATGAGTATCTGATTCATTGTATGACCGTCCCCCGGTGCGATCCGTAAACATCTCCACGAGGGAGACAAAGGCGGCCAGGCGTGGTGCTGACCACCCCACCCCATCATTGGTGCACCGTGCCAGCCTTAATAGGCGCTCGCTAACAGCACTTGCCTCAACAGCTTGTGTAGCCTACACGGCGTTGGGGGGGGGGGGGGGGGGGGGGGGGGCAGAATCTTTATCTTTGCGTCTCTCCAGGAGGAGCGGAACGATGCCGGAACAATGAATGGAGGAGTAGGAGGAGGGACCGGCGCTGCTTCTCGGTCGTCGGAAGGAGGTCGCGAGTCCCTCCGGGAGGAACGGAAAGATGCGGGAACCACAAACGGAGCAGGGGCCGGTGCCTCGACTGGCGCCGCTGCCGGTGCCGGGGTCGGTTCTTGGTGGTCGGAAGAAAACCCCGAGTCGTCGGACGGGAACTCGACGTTCGTCTTCTCGTTCGCGTGGCTCAACTCCCAGCACAAGTAGCCCTGGAGGGAGCTGGAGGGGGGCTGGGGGGGGCGGGGGGCTATGAGGCGCCCTCGGCGGTGGGGGCCCAGGCATTGCCGCCCACCCATGGCATCGGCGAGCCGCGCCCTGTTGTACGTCGATCGCTCGCCCGCTGCCGGCACTGCTGCCGCGTAAACCTCTTGTGTGACCTCGTCGGGTTTGTGCCAAGTAGGTTGTGTTGCGGTTCGCGAGTAAATCTGTGGGGTCGGGCTACGTAACGATCTGACCCTTTGTTTCCTTCCTGCTTAATTTGTTTGGCCGTGTCTGGTGGTGGGCGGCATGGGGGGAGGGGGGAGGGGGGGGGGGGCTAGGGGCGGTTGGAGGAGGAGAGGCTCGAGACAAAAATTTGGACGCGAAAAAAAATCGATTACCAATGGAGATTCACGCCTCCCTTGCCACCGCCAGTGAGTGATTTACCCCCCCCCCCCCCCCCCCCAAAAGAAATGCTGAAGCTTTCTCTTGAAGTGGGGAATTTAAACACGGACTCCATGTTGACGATCGGCTCCCGCACGTAAAGGCCGTGATCTACTCGGGCAATATCAGAGCAATCATTGCCAGCAATCATCACCTGCGGTATTTCCCATTGTCACGATCTCATTGCTCCAAATCTGAATAAGTCTGATTTGAGCTACCCCTTATTGGACAACCGTGGCGGCAACTTCCAATCAGATCGGAGACAGAGGTCATGTGACTGCTGCCTGCTTAACGCTTTCTGCACCTGAAAAATGGTGGCATCCAAGTACACGATGAATGGGATCTTAGATGGAACAGAGAGCCTTCTGTTTGCCTTTCTGAGTGACTGGCTGACTGGTAATAATGGACTGCATAAGGGATTGACTGTCACATAACATTCTCTTAATCACCTAGAAACCAGCACTAGGCCTACCCCATCCCTTACCAACTAGTAACTAGTACTAGGCCTACCCCATCCCTAACCAACTAGTGACCAGCACTAGGCCTACCCCATCCCTTATCAACTAGTAACCAGTACTAGGCCTACCCCATCCCTTATCAACTAGTATTCAGTACTAGGCCTACCCCATCCCTTAACAACTAGTAACCAGCACTAGGCCTACCCCATCCCTTACCAACTAGTGACCAGCACTAGGCCTACCCCATCCCTTACCAACTAGTAACCAGTACTAGGCCTGCCCCATCCCTTACAAACTAGTAACCAGTACTAGGCCTACCACATCCCTAACCAACTAGTGACCAGTACTAGGCCTACCCCATCCCAAACCAACTAGTGACCAGCACTAGGTCTGTCCTATCCCTAACCAACTAGTCATCATAGTTTCATCAAGGCTCGCTTTGATTGGCCAAGAAAGAACTCTGCCGCTCAATCGCGTTGCTTACCCCAAGTTGCCATCGTCGGTCACGGTGAATGCGTTGCCGGCGATGGTTGCCTGAAGCTGCCCGAGTGGATCGCTGCCACAGAGCGGTGTGCGGGTGAGCACACTGGGGGAACTGCGATCCAGAGGTCCCCCGGTTCGATTCCGTCTCCCGGCACGGCAGTCGAAACGACTGCGCGGGTCTCGGTCGGTGCGGTTTTTTTTGTGACCAAAACGGCACTGGTGAATAGTGATCCGGGTCTTGAGATGTTTGTAACCAGCGACAAGTTACGGAAGCGGTTGCCGGTCAACAATCCTCGGCGCGATTGGGCAAAAATTGGCTGCGCCGGGTGGTGGGTCCCCCGTGTGCAGGATTAGCACGGTTTGGCTACGTACGGTGCCAAATAAGTTCAACATACGTAGGTACATGCAACATACAGGATGAGTTCAAGTTTCAAGTTTCATTTTTTTAGGTATAGCCCTGTGAGCCATGCGGCTCTTGAGTCGGGTGCAACCGCAACAAACAAAATATGAAGAGAACATCTAAAAGGGACGACGCGCAACAGAAACATCCTGGGATAAACCAGCAAATCTTCCAGAAAAAAAAACCCCACTGTATTACAACGCTGTGTGCAAAAATCCCAGTGTGATGCAAGTCAAACAAAAACAACCATAAGACAATTTAGATTAAAGTTATCAGGCCAACTCCGCACTTCCGCAAGAAACGTGGCTTAACCATGGCTTAACCATGTTTCCAAAAACACCAAAATAAAGCTGTAAAAACAATCTAACAACAGTAATCAAAGGAACTGCGATTCAAATTTAACAATAAACGATATACATAACATGTACGTAACGGTCAACCTAGTGAATTGAGTCCTTGACATTAGCAGAGGTATCAAGATATAAAATTTATTAGAACTATGGCCGTGGTAATAACTATCCATTATTGACGAGGAAGCCAATGAGCGACAGGATGGCTGGAATGAATCAATGATCGTCGCAGCAATCAATTAAATTGATTCATGGTGGGTCCATTGAGCTGGGTTTGGGGCAGGAATTAGGTGACCATAACAAAGAAAATTCTACCGTTTACCAAAAGGTATTTTGAACATCGATGCAATCATCGCTTTGCTTATGTTTCCAATACTGACCACTGTCCGTTTAATCTCTCTCCGCTGTATCCCAGTGTCCCCTAGGAAGCTGTACATGCAGACCAAGCTGTACATGCAGTGAGGATAGGGTAAGCAACTTGGGAGGTGAGGAACATGGCGGGTGGGTGCTGTAGCTGTGATTGGGCAGGGTGAGGGAGTCGGGGTCCCTTGTTGTGAGCCTATGGATCTTGAGTATAGGATTCTGTGTGAGAATGGATCTCTGAGTGAGACTATGGGTCTATGACTGAGCCTATATGTCGATGAGTGAGTCTATAGGGCTCTGATTATGGGTCTATGAGTGAGTCTATTGGTCTACGAGTGAGTCTCTGGGTCTGAATGAGTGAGTCTATGGGTCTGAATGAGTGAGTCTTGGTCTGAATGAGTGAGTCTCTGGGTCTGAATGAGTGAGTCTTGGTCTGAATGAGTGAGTCTATGGGTCTGAATGAGTGAGTCTATGGGTCTCAATGAGTGAGTCTTGGTCTCAATGAGTGAGTCTATGGGTCTGAATGAGTGAGTCTTGGTCTGAATGAGTGAGTCTTTGGGTCTTAATGAGTGAGTCTATTGGTCTCAATGAGTGAGTCTATGGGTCTCAATGAGTGAGTCTATTGGTCAGAATGAGTGAGTCTATGGGTCTCAATGAGTGAGTCTTGGTCTGAATGAGTGAGTCTATGGGTCTGAATGAGTGAGTCTATGGGTCTCAATGAGTGAGTCTATGGGCCTCAATGAGTGAGTCTATGGGTCTCAATGAGTGAGTCTATGGGTCTCAATGAGTGAGTCTATGGGTCTCATTGAGTGAGTCTATGGGTCTCATTGAGTGAGTCTATGGGTCTCATTGAGTGAGTCTATGGGTCTCATTGAGTGAGTCTATGGGTCTCATTGAGTGAGTCTATGGGTCTCAATGAGTGAGTCTATGGGTCTCAATGAGTGAGTCTATGGGTCTCAATGAGTGAGTCTATGGGTCTCAATGAGTGAGTCTATGGGTCTCAATGAGTGAGTCTATGGGTCTCAATGAGTGAGTCTATTGGTCTGAATGAGTGAGTCTATTGGTCTGAATGAGTGAGTCTATTGGTCTGAATGAGTGAGTCTATTGGTCTGAATGAGTGAGTCTATTGGTCAGAATGAGTGAGTCTATGGGTCTCAATGAGTGAGTCTATTGGTCTCAATGAGTGAGTCTATGGGTCTCAATGAGTGAGTCTATTGGTCAGAATGAGTGAGTCTTGGTCTGAATGAGTGAGTCTATGGCTCTGAATGAGTGAGTCTTGGTCTGAATGAGTGAGTCTATTGGTCTGAATGAGTGAGTCTATGGGTCTCAATGAGTGAGTCTTGGTCTGAAGTTGTGAGTCTATGGGTCTCAATGAGTGAGTCTATGGGTCTCAATGGGTGAGTCTTGGTCTGAATGAGTGAGTCTATGGGTCAGAATGAGTGAGTCTTGGTCTGAATGAGTGAGTCTTGGTCTGAATGAGTGAGTCTTGGTCTGAATGAGTGAGTCTTGGTCTGAATGAGTGAGTCTTGGTCTGAATGAGTGAGTCTTGGTCTGAATGAGTGAGTCTTGGTCTGAATGAGTGAGTCTTGGTCTGAATGAGTGAGTCTTGGTCTGAATGAGTGAGTCTTGGTCTGAATGAGTGAGTCTTGCTCTGAATGAGTGAGTCTTGGTCTGAATGAGTGAGTCTTGGTCTGAATGAGTGAGTCTTGGTCTGAATGAGTGAGTCTATGGGTCTGAATGAGTGAGTCTTGGTCTGAATGAGTGAGTCTATTGGTCAGAATGAGTGAGTCTATGGGTCTCAATGAGTGAGTCTCTGGGTCTCAATGAGTGAGTCTATGGGTCTTAATGAGTGAGTCTATGGGTCTTAATGAGTGAGTCTTGGTCTTAATGAGTGAGTCTATGGGTCTGAATGAGTGAGTCTTGGTCTGAATGAGTGAGTCTATGGGTCTCAATGAGTGAGTCTATGGGTCTCAATGAGTGAGTCTATGGGTCTCAATGAGTGAGTCTATTGGTCTCAATGAGTGAGTCTATGGGTCTCAATGAGTGAGTCTATGGGTCTCAATGAGTGAGTCTATGGGTCTCAATGAGTGAGTCTATGGGTCTCAATGAGTGAGTCTATTGGTCTCAATGAGTGAGTCTATGGGTCTCAATGAGTGAGTCTATGGGTCTCAATGAGTGAGTCTTGGTCTGAATGAGTGAGTCTATTGGTCTGAATGAGTCTATGGGTCTTAGTGAGTGAGTCTTGGTCTGAATGAGTGAGTCTATTGGTCTCAATGAGTGAGTCTTGGTCTGAATGAGTGAGTCTATGGGTCTCAATGAGTGAGTCTATGGGTCTTAGTGAGTGAGTCTTGGTCTGAATGAGTGAGTCTATTGGTCTCAATGAGTGAGTCTATGGGTCTTAGTGAGTGAGTCTTGGTCTGAATGAGTGAGTCTTGGTCTGAATGAGTGAGTCTTGGTCTCAATGAGTGAGTCTATTGGTCTTAATGAGTGAGTCTTGGTCTGAATGAGTGAGTCTATGGGTCTCAATGAGTGAGTCTATGGGTCTCAATGAGTGAGTCTTGGTCTGAATGAGTGAGTCTATGGGTCTCAATGAGTGAGTCTATGGGTCTTAGTGAGTGAGTCTTGGTCTGAATGAGTGAGTCTATTGGTCTCAATGAGTGAGTCTATTGGTCTCAATGAGTGAGTCTATGGGTCTTAGTGAGTGAGTCTTGGTCTGAATGAGTGAGTCTTGGTCTCAATGAGTGAGTCTATTGGTCTG